GATGGGCGGTTCATTTTAAAATTCTATCGTTACCTCATATATATATATATTAATAATTATCCGTGTCTAAAAACACTTTAAATGAACAAAAAATTCTTAAACAATTGTCTATACTCGAAAGTATTATAGGACACAAAAAATCTCTAATAAAAAAAAATTATGCAATGGAACTATGCTTGATTCAAATTCAATGTTAAATCAAATACATCACTATACATGGGTTTATTGCAATTTTGATTGACAACCCAAAATAATTGAGAACAAAATAAACACTACCTAAGAATTAGAACAAAAAAGACACTGTTTTCTTACAAAAAGTCACTAAAATTCCAATGAACATTTATGTAGCTTAATAATGGGTACTGCTCATACAACAACCCTCGTCCCCAAACTCCTTTGATAACATTTCAAATGGCCATCAACCCTTCTCCACAAACTCCTTTGTCAATCTCTCATGCACCTCATTTTGTTGTCACGGGGCTTCCCCCATTGAATATGTATCAGCATAGCACATGCCTCCTACTTCGCTTGGAATAGTTCAATATACCTTTAAAAAAAAGTGCTAATGAATTTTTCAAATATAGTTGCAAATATTTTTTCTTGAACAAATTGCACTAAAAAACAGACAAATTTTAAAAATCCATATCGAATTGTCCAAACATCAATTGGATATATACCCCATACATTGCACCGGTATATATGAACCCCAAATATACGTTATTTGCACTCATAGTTGAAACAGTCAAACCTTAATTGCTAGTAAACCCATCTCAATCCATCTAGAGTCAAAAAATCACTAAAAATATATATTTTCCAGATCTACTGGCAACCCACAATGATGCATTTAGTGACCAAAGACAATTGTGTCAATCCTCTCACTCTATGGCTTGAGCAATTCCAATATTTTTATAGGAGCAATGTTATGTTACATGAGCAATGGTAACAGCTAATAAGCATTTTCACTCACATATGCACACTCATCAATTATCTGTTTTCATCTTTTTCTCATATAACCTAATAGAAAACTTCATTAGAAATGGAAATTACAGCTCATCTAGGAATACAAACCTTTTAGTTGGGCTTCAATGACAACATAGCTAGTATAAACCAATCATGCATGATTAATAGAAGATGAAGCTCTCCAATTGCATCGCATAGCCATCTATTCCAACCTTCCATGGTATGTACAATGTCTAAAAGTACCACACTACATGATCATGAGAATGATGATCACCTGCATCTAATGAGATTTAGATAAGTGGCAATTACAAAAGTCTTATGATCATTTCTCACTATATCAAGCAAATAAGATAGAACTTCCTTACTTCTACAACAACAATTCTGAAGCACATGTTAGGGCCACATGCAGGAGAAAAAAATGAGGATCACTGTGTTGAATTCAATTTAGTTGTTTACTTAAGTTCTTTTGGAGTCCATGGATCTTTGGCCAATAAAAAATTCAAATTAAACCATCTAGAAGTCGAATTATAAGATGTATGAGCTAACNGGCATAAAAAGTAAAAAATAAACTACCTTTAAATGACAGCGTGTGATTGTGAATCTCTGAAGAGTTTGTGTTGTGTGCTGCCCCAATATTAAGTTGTGCACGTGTATGACTGTGTTTGCATGTGAAGTGTGCGTGTGTGTGTTTTGCGTAGTGAGTGGTGTATGTGTGCAGTGTGGGTGTGAGTGTGAGTGTGAGTGTGAGTGTGTGTGTGGGTGCACTTGTATGTTGTGTGCGTGTGTGTTGTTTGGGTATGTTGGAAAGAAAAGAAAGAGAAGAAGAAAGAGGGGGGAGACAGAGCAACCTTAGAAGTTTTGCTAACGTCGCTGATTGCTGGATTATGTGGGTCGCCGGAGTTCGACGCCAGAGAGAAGGGGAGGCGTAGGATGTGCAAGAGAGAGATAAATTGAGAGAGGAGGCGGGTGGGAGAAAGTTAGGGCATAAGAGTTTGCAAATAAGAGAGAGATTTTTAGGGAATCAAAGAAAAAGATTTTGGGCATGAGATAAGGGGCGTGAGAGACCCTGAAGAGAGAGGCCGAAGCGAGATTGTGATGGATTTGAGAGAGAGACGCGTGAGATAAGAAATGTTGTTGGGCTGAAAAATAAATTTTAGTACTCACCGTGGATCGTTAGAACAAAATTTTTAAGATAATTTGTCTTTTATATTAGAATTATGTTGTCCGTTGGATATATTTATGTTTTGTTTTAAAACGATCGAGACCTCTCTTTGTCTTTTAAATTTAAATTTCGTTCTATTTTATTATATAGATACAGAATAATCCATCAATTTAAACATATGATAGGATTGGATTTGAGTAGATAAAAGTCATGGATAGAATGGTAACTTATAAAATTGTTGGTGTAATTTATGGGGCCCACCAAATTACAAATTTATTTTCCAAACAAGAGTTTGAATTGGATATACTCCAAGGTTAAGAATTTAAAGGGGATGAGTGAGTTTAAATTGGATGAGTTAGGATATAAAAAATGAAATATTATCCTATTCAAACCCACTACCCAAACACACCCATATTAAATATAGAATGGGAACGGAATCTAGATTTGAAGGAGGCTAACGGTCTGAGTTTGAAGGATGGAATTAATCGGGCGGGTAATCGGAACGGGTCATTCGGCAATTGCTCAGATTTAAGCAGCAGGACATTTTTTGTTTTATTTTTTGGTTCAATGGTCAGTGTTTGGGCCAGTTTATGTATACTTCAATAAAAATAAGTCATTCATGTCAAAACTAAAATATCAATAAAGAATAAATTTTCACCGTTTGACATAATAAAATTTGTCTAGATTCATAAACAGTAGGATCTTAAATTGGGGTTCAACATCANAAAAAAAATGAGGATCACTGTGTTGACTTCAATTTAGTTGTTTACTTAAGTTCTTTTGGAGTCCATGGATCGTTGGCCAATAAAAAATTCAAATTAAACCATCTAGAAGTCGCATTATAAGATGTATGAGCTAACATACAAAACTAAAACAACATACTTCAAACGAAATTCTTACCATGACAAAANCACGTGTATGAATGTGTTTGCATGGGAAGTGTGCGTGTGCGTGTGCGTGTGTGTGTTTTGTGTAGTGAGTGGTGTATGTGTGCAGTGTGAGTGTGTGTGTGGGTGCACTTGTATGTTGTGTGCGTGTGTGTTGTTTGTGTATGTTGGAAAGAAAAGAAAGAGAAGAAGAAAGAGGGGGGAGACAGAGCAACCTTAGAAGTTTTGCTAACGTCGCTGATTGCTGGATTATGTGGGTCGCCGGAGTTCGACGCCAGAGAGAAGGGGAGGCGTAGGATGTGCAAGAGAGAGATAAATTGAGAGAGGAGGCGGGTGGGAGAAAGTTAGGGCATAAGAGTTTGCAAATAAGAGAGAGATTTTTAGGGAATCAAAGAAAAAGATTTTGGGCATGAGATAAGGGGCGTGAGAGACCCTGGAGAGAGAGGCCGAAGCGAGATTGTGATGCATTTGAGAGAGAGACGCGTGAGATAAGAAATGTTGTTGGGCTGAAAAATAAAATTTAGTCCTCACCGTATATTGTTAGATCAAAATTTTTAAGATGATCTGAACTATCTTTTATGTTGGAATTATGTTGTCCGTTGGATATATTTATGTTTTGTTTTAAAACGATCGGGACCTCTCTTTGTCTTTTAAATTCAAATTTCGTTCTATTTTATTATATAGATATAGAATAATCCATCAATTTAAACATATGATAGGATTGGATTTGAGTAGATAAAAGTCATGGATAGAATGGTAACCTATAAAATTGTTGGTGTAATCTATGGGGCCTACCAAATTACAAATTTATTTTCCAAACAAGAGTTTGAATTGGATATACTCCAAGGTTAAGAATTTAAAAGGGATGAGTGAGTTTAAATTGGATGAGTTAGGATATAAAAAAAAATATATTATCCTATTCAAACCCGCTACCCAAACACACCCATATTAAATATAGAATGGGAACGGAATCTGGATTTGAAGGAGGCTAATGGTCTGAGTTTGAAGGCTGGAATTAATCGGGCGGATAATCGGAATGGGTCATTCGGCAATTGCTCAGATTTAGGTAGCAAGACATTTTTTGTTTTATTTTTTGGTTCAATGGTCAGTGTTTGGGCCAGTTTATGCATACTTCAATAAAAATAAGTCATTCATGTCAAAACTAAAATATCGATAAAGAATAAATTTTCCCGGTCTGACCTAATAAAATTTGTCTAGATTCATAAACAGTAGGATCTTAAATTGGGGTTCAACATCAATCCTTATTGGCTCTTTCATGGCCCAACTCGTATCTAACTTGTATATATTATATCAAGGTGTTAATTTTACTGAGTTTGTTGAGTTTAAGTATAATTTTGTTGAGTTTAAATATGTTGAAATACGTTGTGATTGATTGAACTTGGACTCGATTATTGAGTTTGTATTCTTACTCTAACTCGGTTCGATGAAAACTTACAAGCATTCGAACCAAAATTGAACTCAAATTCTCAATAAAAACTTTCACATGTTTAAATCTTAGAAGTCCAAAATTTTCCAATATTGAGAGAAGAGAATGAAAAAGAAATGAGTATTATTTAAAGTTATATCACATTATTCTCTTTTTGGGTATTAATTGTTTAATAACGAAATGAGAGCTATCTAAAACAAAGAATCTGTTTAAGTCCAGCTAAACTTATTCAAAACATGCCACATATTTTGAGTCGAACCTTTTCAAAACAAGCCACATGTTCCTAGTCAAACCCATTCCAATCAAGCCACATGTTTGCCAAATATACCTCTTTTAGATAAAGAAATCAAATTTTAATCAAATTCGATTACCAAATTCTTCAAGCTTAGCAATAACTGGTCTGTTTCCTACTTCCCCAAAGGAGAAAACAAGTAGAGTCACAATAAAATAGTATGTCTCCCTCTCTATTACGTCTCTCTCTTAATAGTTATATAGGCTGTTATTATGACATGATAGAGTGTGTTTCTTGTAAAATTGACCATCCATGGCGGAGAAGGACGGTAAAGAAGATGAAGCACCGCCGGCGGTACATCCGGCACTGAAAGCTATCGTGTTCGGATTCATGGCCTCTGCAATCATATGGACCGTCGTGGTCGACTACAAGGAGCACTTAAAAGAGCTTCTCGGAGATCACCACTTGCAATGGCGATCCCTACTATCGCATGTCGCTGCCACTATGCTTCTCATGATTTGCTCCATTTTTCTGCTTCTCTTGGCAATCCTCTACTTCGTCAATGCGTTTGAACCATTCCTCCGTCTTTGGAAAAGCTCAAGTATTTCGTCCGAAGATCAACTGCGTCCGTTGCTGGTTTAACCACGAAACGCCCTATTGTTGTACGCACACTTATAAATCCCTTGTTGATTTTATGACGAATTTCATACACATTGTTGTTACTTCAAGCATGTTAACTTTGGACTTGTTTGCGTCCGTTAAATTTATTATTTTTGTGATTGATTTATTATATTTGTAGATATTTTTATTACTGTTGTGATAATTATTTTTACTATTTTTTTTCATATAAAAAATTATCACATTTGTAGTTACTATTTGTGAAGATGAGCATGAATATGGTATAGGATGTTTCAAAAGCAAGAACTGAACATAAAGTTTTCATCACCACAATTTGGAAAGTGAATTATTTAGTCACATTCAAAATCTCTGTGTCATGTTCATGTCAACCGCATGTTGTGTTATGTTATTGTTATTTATGTCGTGCTCGTGTTAAGACTCAAGAAAAAAAATTTATTTAATGTGTTTTGAGTATTAAACATTAGTTTAGATTATTTATTATGCGTATTTAATAATCGTGTTAATTTTATAATTGTTCGTGTCGAGTTTGTATGTCAGAGTTGACACCCTTGCCAAAATCTATAGCACCACCTAGATGAATGTGTAAGACCTTCAAATGAAAGAGTGTAATATTACAATTAGATGTTTTCACCATTGCCAAAAAAAAAAATTAAATTCATTGTTCCTGTACCCACCACAGAATCAAAAGAAAAAGATAAAGAGAAATAATTACCTAAACATTACTATTCAACTGGTTGAATCCAACTTAGCCCCCCATGTCTTTTAAACTCTGTGATTTGCTTGAAAGTGTTGTGGTTGAGAATGTTTAGGAGACTGACGCAGTGGAGTTTTGAAGAAAGTGACCCTAAATAATCGATTATACTTTTCTTTTAAACTATTTAATGATAAGCTAATTCAAAAATTAAAAGAAAGATTAGCAGAGGTGGAAGTTAAAGTGAGAGGCATGTGGGAGGAAAATACAGAGGAGGGATAGATAGGTCCAGACAAACACTAGAGGTAATCCGTGCCTAAAAGTACGGTGTAATATGAATAATTTTGAGAGAGATGTTGATGACCGTTATATGAGTTTATTTAGAATTCTCGGATGAACTTATTGAAACATGTTATAGTTTATACTATAGATCTCTTTATAATATAGAGATTCGTGTCGGTAATTGTCCCACATCGGTTAATGGTTTTTTTGGTAAATTCTTTTAAGCATATTATTCATTTAACCAAAGAAAAATAATTTTGTTTTTTTTTTAATTACTGTTTTGTCAAACTGATCAAAATAAGTTTGACACTGTTCATTAATCCAGCTAAGCTTGGTCATGTTCATCTACCTCGACTCAAACAACCACTAAGCTTGACACTTTCAGCTTAGTCTTGCTCGCTGAAGGAGATTCTAAAGAGTTAAAAATCAAATTAGCAAATAGAATAGAATTTGAACTCCATCTCTATTAGATCACTTACGAAAAGACCTTTTATAAAATCCACGATAGACTGGTTTAATAGGTACACTAAATTAAAATTTTGACTTAAAGCAACAAAGCATCGACAATCGAAGATCCTCTAGTCTTCAATTTTCTTTATAGGTGATCGATGTTTGTCCAGCCTAATGTGGAAGCACTAAATATCTGCGTCAACAAAATATTATCTTGCTTTTTGATGATTATTTTTAGAGGGGTTTAGGGGCCAGTCCTCGAGACCAATAGGATTCAAAAAAAATTCACTCGACAATCTCATCACCTAATTTGAACACCTAATCTCAAAAAGTACGATATCATATTGTACATTTTTCTCCATAAACACAAATCATAAAATAATTACACTAAAAAAGGTATGCAAATAAAAAAATATATATTTTCGAGCCAAAAATTATCAGGTAAGTATTAAAAAAATAATAGTTATGCAATAAAAAATATAAAAAATAATAGATACGCAATAATCGTCTGATAGGTACACTAAAACACAGATCGTCGTATAATTACACTAAAGCACATATCGTCAAACAGCTATACCAAAACACAGGTCATTAATGTACATTTTTTTCCATAAACATAGATCGTCAAACAAGTACATTAAAACACAAATTGTCAGGCGTCATCATAATGTCTAAATTGCTTGGTTTACGAGTTCAAATTTTAAAATTAATAGACAATACCGCAAAAATCTCAATAACAAATACAAAAAAAACAAAAAATTAATTTTATTTTAGGCTGAAATCATGTGATGAGAGCAAAATGAATAATACAAATTAGTAACTAACCAACCTCTTAATATTCGCACCAACATAAGGATTGGATGTATGTTTTTTAAGAAATCAAAGACCTTTTTTTTATGCTAAAAGTTCAGTAGATCTAAAATTAGTTTACACATCAAAGTATGGACCATAGCCTAATTTACTATTATTTTTATGTAACAATATATTTAAATACAATGATATAGTATTTTGTTTTAGGGTTTTTTGTGAGTCAATACTTAATTTATCACTTAATTGTGGAAAAATATTCGATATAAAATATTTTGTATAGAAGTACTTTTTTTGGAATGACAAAATTGTCTACAAGATAACAATTATATTGCTCAAAGGGTGAATAAGAAAACCACCATAAATCATGCAATAATTCCCTTAAATTCGACAACTGCTACATCCCTAAAACATTGGTTTCCAAATTTAAAAAAAAAATCTGCTACAAAATCCTTCAATTTTTAACTAAAAAAAAAAACACAAACGTTGAAACACAATTGAAGATCGGTCTTCCTTATGTTCCAATTCAAATTGCTGATAATGTGACATTACAGTAATACATAACAGTATAACATATTCATTAACACTTTAATCACAGATAAAAAAATTATATAATTACATTCACTCATTTATACATAATTTAAATAATATGTATCACATAACATAATATCACAAATGTGACATCCATATATTATTTTTAATAAATTTCAGTGTTACATCACAGTATAACATTGCAAAGTGACAATGTTGCTAAATTTGAGAACAATCAGAACAATTTATCAGTAAAAAATAATATATAAAAAATGAATTTCAAAATCTGGGTCAAGCCACTAAGGTATATTTCATGTGGTATAATTTTAAATTTCAAATATATTTAATCCCTTAAAATATGAAACCATTAATATAATAAATTAAATCCAATAAAAAATAACATGCTTTCAAATAAGAAAATTTGTAATTTAGTGAAGAAAATATTTAAAAATTTGTTAACGAGTACCTAACAACAATACAAAGTTATTTCTCACAGTCACTTTGGGGACGATCTTTCATTAAATGTGCATACTACATGACACTTTTCTTTTTTGGTTTAATGGCTAAAGATTTTCGGGCCATTTTGCGTGTACCTTGACTAATTCCTTCTCCGATCTGATCAATGACATGGAATCCACACTAGAATTAGAAAATTCATGATGGATAAATCTCTCATGATCTGACCTCAAAAAATTATTAAGATTCGAATTCAAGACGTCTATGTTTATAATTTATCCTTATTACCGCTCGAGACATGGTGTAATAGAAAATTTTCTAATGTTTGTTAACAATTAATTAATCTGATTGTGACATAATTGAAATAAGTAGTCAGAAATAAACAAACAACGCTTGCAACAATTAAATTGGTCCTTTACACGTCACTGGGCGAAACTTTGCACCTACTTTATTTTTTGATCAAATTGCACCTACTTTATGAATCCGACTTTTAAGGACACAATTTCCTAACCCGTGCCTTCCTTCCTCTTTCATATGATCTAAGCTAGATTCCATTGAGCTTCTTTTAAAACAACAAATTGTTCTAATGAATCTCATCATGTCAACAACCATCAATAATCACCAACAACTCTAATAACTATAACATTAGATCAAGTAGAATTCACTAATTAGTTAAAATTAATTACTGATATTATCCCGTTGTATTAAAGAAAATATTGAGTGTTTCGGTTACACAATATCATTGTCCGATAATGAGGTAACAAACAGGCAAGTTGATCTCACATAATTAAGTAACTATTCATCCATGTAATATAATAATTATCCCATGTATAGAATAGGAGTACACATTATTTGAAAACTCAAAGGCGTGAGCTAGGTGCTTAAGGTGAGGAGTTTAAGGCTATTGAGTAGTGATTGTGGTGAGAATGGTGTGAGTGATCAGAGAGAGGGAGTGCCTCGTGGCTTTATCAAACATTACAGGAGTCGTGAGATAAAAGTAAGAGTTAGAACATAAAGAAAAACACACATATCATAGTGGTTCACCAAATGAAGAACTTGGTTAATCTACTTTAATGGAGTTTCTTATTCCTTGAGAGATTTTCTATTGTTTAAGTAAAAAGATGAAAATTACAGTTGCAGAAATTACAATAAGCCTTGTGTCCATGTGAGTGATTGCCCTTTGTATTTACACCCATAGGTGGTGTTGTCCTCACGCCATTATCACATGATTCTCTAATTTGTTTGAATTTTTTTAAGAAAATATTTGGTCGTTAGATTCTATATTTCATAGGTGTGATATGGCCTTCTAAGTATACATGGTGAGGTGGCATCGAGACTCCTTATCAAGCCTAAGTACACTATGATCTTCCATGTCTGCGAGATGTCATATTGCTTGAGACGACATCCTATTCCTTTTGGTCAGCTCGTAGATAGTGGAGTTCGATCTACGTTTCTTGACTTGAACTGAAAATTTTGAACTTCCTCGTAATGTGATATGCACCTACTCACTTTTACTTGGAGCGGGATGTGCACTAGAAGTCGAGAGACAGACTTTATTCTTGGACCTCGTTGTAAACGAGATATGAAAATATCATTTTAAATATCCCCTCTATTGCCCCAGGGATTTTTCGTGAAAGAAGGCGGATGAGGTGAATCCGGTCAGCCGTCTGCGTCTACTTCCCTTGATTCACGCCTAGGTTCACGATTGCAATTTACGGAAGACATGTCTAACCAACAAGAAACTCCAAAATATGGAAAAGCCAGTTAAAAAGTATGCTAGACTTGA